TAATGAAAGACTTAGCTGAAGATGAACTTGTTGTAGATTTAACAGGTAAATATATATATATTTTTTTTATTGAATACTCAAATCGTTGTTAAAATTAATTTATAAATATTGATTTAAATTAAACAATTTAATAATATATTAGATGATATTGATGGTGATATGTTCACTGATGCAAAAGATAATAACAATGCATTGGCCGGTATAAAGAACGATAATAATGTATTGATCAGTGCAAAAGATGATAATAAAGTATTGGTCGGTACAAAGGGTAATAATAATGCATTAGTTGGTACAAAGGATGATAATAATACATTTATTGATGCAAGAGATGATGATTTATTAGCTAAAGGTGATTCAGAAACAGGCTTTTTAGATGATTGGGATGTTGAAATAAATAGTTTGAATTTGATGGAAACATTACATCAAGAATTAGAAGAAAGTGTAGATAATGATATTCAAAACAATAACGATTGTGATTTTAATCAAAAATTACAAAAATTAAAACAAATTATTTTAAATAATAATAAAAAGCAAAATGTATATGATTATCTAAGATACTGTCTATATATGCATATTTTACATATTGGAAAAAAGATGGATTAACACGGATGAAGGCAAATGAGAAAGCATCGGAAGAAATTTATAGTAAAGAAATTTATAGATCTAGAGTAATTCGTAAATTAGGTGATTATTGGATTAAATATAATGCATTACCTATTTTATTACAAGGTTATCATCAAAAATAAAATCATTTATTGATGATGAGGATATTATTAATTGTAATTTGACATATATTCATTCCAATAGCGGAAGAATAACACCACAACAGTATAGAGAATTTATAATATCAAAACTTTTTCCTCAAATGGGTATTATAAGGTCAATATCAATAAAAATAGCAAGAATATGGCTTCATAAGTTGGGTTTGACTCCTCAATCTCAAAAAAGGTATATATTTTGATAAACATGAACGTGAAGATGTATTACAATATCAAGAACAATTTTTAAAAACTATGACAGAATTTGAAAAACTAATGCCAACATTTATTGGTGATAAAATGCAAATGATTCTTCTGGAACTTAAAAATGAAGAACAGTTACATATTTTAGTAACACATGATGAATGCCTTTTTTATGCTAATGATGATCGTCTGATTGTTTAGACTCTATTAGGTGAACTACTGCTTAGAAAGAAAGGTCAAGGCAAATCTATAATGGTTAGTGAATTTTTATTGGAAACTATTGGATGACTTAAAATTACCGATGAACTTGTTACAAATTATCCAAATATTCCTAAAGAAGCAAGAAAATATTTACATCTGGGTAAAAATGATGAGAGTTGGTAAACTGCAGATCATCTTTTAGATCAAGTAATAAATTTAGTGATTCCAATCTTTGAAACATTATATACTAATGCAATAGCTGTTTTTGCATTTGATAATAGTACCAATCATAGTGCAATGGTAAAAGATAGATTAAATGCTTTTAAAATGAATATGAATCTAGGAGAAAAACAACCATATATGCGTTCAACTTATTATGGACCAAATCAAACTTTTCAATCTATAGTTTTTTCATATGATTATTTAAAATATCCAAATCAACCAAAAGGTATAAAATAAATATTAATTGAAAGAGGTTTATGGAAAAATAATTTATTGGCTGATTGTTAACTATGTAAAGGAAAAATAAAAGTTATAGATGTGAATAGAGTAGATTGTTGTACACATCAAATTTTATCATTACAGCCAGATTTCTTAGAACAAAAATCTCAACTTCAAGAAGAAATTGAAAAGCGTGATCATAAATGCATTTTTTATTCTAAATATCATTGTGAGTTAAATTATATAGAAATGTATTAGGATGTGGCAAAGAGATATACAAGAGAATATTATAATTATACATAGACAGGATTGCAATAAACAGTTTTTAAAGCTTTAGATTCAGTTCCTTTAATTACAATTAATAAATATGCACAAAAATTATGGCAGTATATGGATATTTATGGAAAAGGTATTACTGGAAAAATGGCAGAATTTGCTGCTAAAAAATATAAATTTCATCATCGTGTACCTGATAGCATTTATGATAAAATAAAATAAATAATTTACATAATATATTGAATTCTAACTTTTGATTGGCTAATATTATAATCACGTGATGATTACATAATTGAAAATTTTAAAAAATTTTTAAACCAATTCCTTTTTACAAATAAAATTTAATTTTTTTTATTTAATTGAAATCTGATTACTAGTTCAAATTTTATTTACAATTTTCTAACTTCCTGAATGACAATCAAAAAATAATCTTCAAGCGAATAGAATCCCATTACCAAAGTATGCTTGCAAGCATAAAAATGATTCTTTAAAGATAATCTTAATGAAAACTGTTGGGACTGGTAAGACCTATCTAATAGAAGCAATTCAAAGTAGGATTAAAGAAATGATTGGAGCTGAATCAGGATTACCTGTAATAGTGCTTGCACTAACAGAAGTTGCAGCATTTAACATTAACGGGATGACAATACATTCAGCACTTTCAATACCAATAGTTAATGATGCAAAACACATTGATATAAACGGTGAATGGCTGAAACAATTGCAGGATAAATTAAAGATATAAAATATGTAATAATCGACGAGAAAAGCATGATTGGTCGCCGAATGCTTACTCTAATCGATATTTGGCTTCAAAAAGCCTTTCCCAAATATAAAAACGAACTATTTGGCAAAAGGTTAATTGTTTTATGCGGTGATTTTGGCCAGCTTCTACCCATCCTTGATTATTCTATGTATTCTAATACTAAGAAAGATGCATTATCTAATAGTGGTCTTGCGATATATAGACAGTTTAAAAAGGTATATAAGCTTGATGTCATTCAGCATCAATCAGGAAACTCTAAAGAACAACAGGACTTTAGAGATATTCTCTTAAGATTGCATAACGGAAAATCCACTATAGATGATTGGAAAGTTCTTATTACACAAACTGAAGATAAGCTCAGTATAATAGAACATAATAGATTCTCTGATGCCTTGTTTATTCTAATAAAGTGGACTGAAGTCAATGCAATAAATATAGATCGACTTCGATCTCTAAATGTTCCTGTTACTAAAATTCAAGCAGTACATACAAGTGGCAATGAGGCTAAAAAAGCCAATTCTAATACAGCACATGGTCTCGAAGCGTATATACTGCTGGCAAGAGGTGTAAAAGTCATATTAACGGTAAACCTACAGACTGAAACTGGGCTAGTCAATGGTTCTATAAGAACTATCCAGGACATAATATTCAAAGAAGATCAAAGACTGCCTTCTCTTTCTATAGCAGTTCTGATCTCTTTCGACAATTACAACAGTCCTACTATTGTTAACTTAGAGGGAAAAGGGTTATACCAATTGCACCAATTTGACGTATCTAGATTGATAAATCTGAAAATACTTGTTCACGTTTGCAAATTTCTCTTTGTTTTGCGTAGGTAATTACGGTACATAAAAGTTAGGTCTTATGTTAAAAAAGGTCATAGTAGATCTCAGTGATAAAGAGTTTACCACAGGTCTTACTTTGTAACTGCATCTCGAGTACGTGCCTCAAAGATCTTCTCTTCAAACTATTCAACTTCGAGAGACTTCAGCACATTAAAGACTGCAAAAGTTAAAAGAAAGGTTAGATGAAGAAAAATATTTGATTTCCATGATACCAAAAAACTGAGCTATATACAATAAAATATAATAATACTGTTCCAAAAATTAGATCTAAAGTTCTAACAAAAATATTGTAATTTTTTTTTTTAACAAAAAATAAAAAATTTAAAGTAAATCTTTGTAATACGTAATACCATTTATAATATACATAACTTTATTTTTTATTCATAACACTTTTTACAAATTTATTTTTTTTTATCTTGTTTATGTTTATTTTTTTTTTATTAGCACAAAATTTTCAATTAGACATGACGTATGCAGACATGCAAACATCATTATGTGATCTTAATTTTTATAAACCGCCTAATAATATATAGTTCTTCGCTTCACTCTGGACAATTAATAATTATATTTTTTTTAGCTTAAATAAATTAAGTCAAATCTGATTTATTTTTATAAGAATTCAGAATATTATATTATTTATAAATAATTACAATCTTTTATCAAAATTATATTTTTTTAAAAAAAAATTTATATAAATATTAAAATAAAAATTATATTATATAATTATGATAAAGTAGTAAAAGATTACATCTATTATTTATATTAATATATATACTTTTTACTATATTAGTATTATTAGATATTTGATTTCAAATAATATAATCTATTTTTGTAAATACAACTGATATTTAAATAATACCTAAAAATACATTTATTTTTTATTTAAGCTATAAAAAAATTAGTAAGTATATTATTTAAACTAAAATTGACAAAAATTTTAATTTAATAATTACCTTCTTTTTCTAGTTCATCACTATATTATATTTTATTTAATATATTTAATACTTTTTCTTGTATATTTAAAGAAAATATTAAATAGATAACTCTTTAAATTTCATTTAATAATTATTTATTTTTATCTATATTTCTAAAATAAAAATATAATTGATTACATTAATTAATAATAATTCATAAATAATAGATAAATTAAATTTATTTTTTAATGAACTTGGTAAAATTTATAAATATGTTATAAATGTTTAATTAAAGATAAAAAAAATATTTTGAATACAGATATTAGATCTAATTTTAATTAAAAATATAATATTTAATAATATATTTATATAAATTTAAAATTTTCTTTTATAATAATTTGCAATTATACATCTTAAACCTTTTTCATAAATATGATAAAAATTAAAATTTTCATCTATATCTTTTTAATATATCTAAATAAATCTTCAAATAGATTTGATATATATTAGCTATTTTAATATTAGTAAATATTTGAATAAAAGTTAAAACTATATATTTTAATATATATAAATTAAAATTATAAATATTTGCTAAATTATATAATTATTGATTTACTTTTTTATACATAAAGTATATATACAGATATTTTTTATTTATTTATAATATTATATATTCTTTTAAATTATATATAAATTTTAATATATATTAATTCAGAAAGTAATTTGATTTGTTATTTAATACTATATAAAATAATATATTAAAAAAGCCTAAAATATAAATTAAATATACATTTAATATTTAATTATATAATAGCTAAAATCTGTTATTTTGCATTAGAAGAAATCACATAAATTTTAAAAAAGAAAATTTTATATTCTAGCAAATTTGAATTTGAATCTCAAAATTAATTACACAAAGTTTCTATTTTTAGAAAATTTATGTAATATCACACAATTAATCATTATTATTTATATAGATAATCTACACTGGTTGAAATCAAAAAAATTGAATATGCAAAAAATCAGCCTAAATTCAGCTT